AATGGCCTTGTTCCAAAAAATACGGGATAAGTTTTACAAACATTTGCTAGTCAAAATGGTGTAAACATAGATCAGTTCAATCAATATCAGCGTGTAAGTGGCAGAGACTTTGTACAAAGGGTAAGAAGATCAAGGCAGAAAATTTACAAGTTCATTTCGATACCAACGCCAAAAGCAGCCAGAAAATAAGGAGAAGTATAAAACAAAATTAGAAAACAAAGATCTCTATAATGGAGAACAGATTGCCCCCAAAACTTCCAAGGCTAGTGTAACAAAATTGATTCATCGGGTATTCTCACCAATGTCGATTACTCTGTATATGGGAGAATGATTCCACTGAAAAAGATCACAGAACAGATAGCAGAAATTCACAAGGATTATCAGAGAGAAACAGACACTGATGAAAGCAAGACGAGGCACCTCAAGATCTGGCATGATCACTCGGATATTCTTAAGTAATGGATATATGCCTAGTAATGGAATACTGTTCTATATGTGAAATTATCAGACTGTTTGAGTCCCGTTTGGGCCGAAAACTGTCTGATAATTTTACATATAGAATAGTATGAGGCATATATCTTACTTAAAATATTGCCATTTAAATGTCCAAAAGTTACCTGGAGGAGTCCGATAATAACACAATGGGAGTTTAGACATCCATTGTTTACTACCCGTCTGATAAGTAGATAAAAGAAATGAGACGGTAAAAAAAGTGAGTGAACTCTTGTTTCATTTCATTCATTCAATGGCAGTCGTTTCGTTTAGCAGGACAGGGGTCCGGTGGTTAAAGATTTTTTGAGGGAACATTTTTATTTATGATGTCCATAAATTGACATTGATACTGACATAATTTTAGGTGATATTTTAACCATCATCATGGAAAGTAAAATGCGGATTTTTACCCTAGCTAAATTTTTAGTTTAGATAAAGAAAATTCTCAGGTTTTAAAAGTGTGGCCATCGGGGAACAAACATAAAAGGAGATTGCAGAATCTTTTTCAGAAATGGATTTTAATTCGCTTATTCAAAGTGCTGTATCAAAAACTCTTTTAAAAATTGGAAAGTATTAATGTTGTGGAAGGTTTATACTCGTATTTCTTTTCATGGATTTGCTATTTTGTAGCAACTTAATTTCCTTGCGTTTGGTTTCCCTGATTTTTTCCTAACATTTTTATTGGGGGTTTCTGGACATATTTAATCTTAATTTCACTCTTCTTTTTGTTTTTTTAAGTACCGTCCGATTTTGTTATCATTGCCGTCCGATAATATATTATCAGACTGGTAATTATTATTATCGGACGGCTACAGGTAATTTTTTTAGACTGCAAGAACAAAGACATGACGTCACAGCAATGTTTTAATCATAGTTACAGTACCCGCATCGTTATTCTTTACAGGATACACGATACGATAGGATACACGCACGATGCGATAGGATACACGCACGATACGATAGGATACACGCACGATAGAATAAACGCAAAACACGATAAACGCAAAACACGATAGACCTGATAAACGATCTTCACGATAGGATAAGCGCAAAACCTGATAGGATTGTTTCAAAATGCGGAACGTTTTCTGACAAGACGAAAAGAATATTTTGTTTTCTTCCTGCAATATTTTAATTTAAATACTTGCAGAGCTTCAAATCTAAATCATAAAGAACATTTAATTATTATAATTTAAGAAAATCGAGATATCTGTGGTAATTTTGCAAACGTTGTTTATTTATATTTAAAAGAAATGACAATGATGAAATGGATTATTATAAAATGGAGACTGTTTTTTTTAAACTTCTTCTCAATTGTGTGAATTTACGATTATTTGTGTTAATGTCGAAACTCTCATTTTATGGTTGAAATATGAATCGTTTTATTATGGATATTTTAATTTTTTACAAAAATCCCTTACATGATTATGTACCGTTTCTCACGTGTACTATTATAAATTTTTGAAACTCTGAATTTTTTATCTAATAAATTTATCTACAAGTACCAAGTTATTTTACGGAAGAAATTTACGCAATAAATTAAATGTTTGTATTTAATCTCTTAAAATTACAACCTGCGATGTATCCAAAAATCGCAATTAAATATTAAAATTTAGAAAAAAAAAAAAAAATAGAAGACCGGCCGAAAGAAAGATTCAAAGAAAAGGGCTTTAATATAATTAATAAATTTAACATAATAGATCTATCAAGAACTAAATAGTACAAAAAAATTAATTTCCTGAATACAAATCTAAATAGTTGTTAATTTAATGGCGCTCTGCATTAATACATGTAAACTATGTCAACAGAATATGAATCTGCTACAACTGCACAAGTACATGTCCGTCTACGCTAAGCTCTCACTTATGTACAAGTAAATATTTATATATCAGATACTGAAAACCTCGAATTAATTAACGAACATTGAATGGTGAAATACTTTTTTCTTTACAATACAAAACACAAAAATTAGTAAACAAATATTAAAAGAGTGAAATGCGACTTTTCCGACTAAATAATTATAAATCATTGCTATTTAACCTTGTGTGTACTGTTTCTAATAATAAGTTTTAGACGGCAGATGAATTATTAAACCCTGAAAATCATTTTAGACTTACCCGGTAATCTCATATGCGGCATATTCGAAGGGCGGTATGTGAAAAGTCCGTAACCAATTCAAATTAGATAAACAAGATCTTACCAAATAGCCAAATTGAATATTGAACTCTTTAATAAAATTATTTACGTATGGAATGAAATCGATTAATACTATAAATTGATTCGGTGTTTTAATTTAATTGTCTTGCATGGTCACGGCGGAATCAGACGACTTCTTTTGTTTTATTATTATACATGTAGTAAGATATCGTAAAAAAAAATGCGAGCTATTTTTCCTAGTTAAGAATGTTAGAAATATTTCATTCGTTTCAATGAAATTGTTTCCTAGAATTTATTTTGTCCGTAATAGGCAGAAAACCCGATGATCCGAAAGTACACGTACCATAAGTGCATTTTTTTTTTTAAAAGTTTATTAAAAGACTCAATTTACTTGGACATAGCATAATGGAAACATTGTACAAAACGAAATGATTGAGTTTAGAGACTTCATTTCATTAAAATGATTTATTTGAATTTTTATTTACAATTCAAGCAATAAGATATTTTTTTTAAATCAATAAATTGTACAATTATTAAATATATTTTGAATTAAATCTTTGATAAGTTTGTTTACATAAATTAGGAACAAAATCCCGAAAATAAGTAGATGCGTTTTATTAGAACCAGGTAGTATTCGAGGTTACTAATTGACCCCAGGTGAGAAATCAGTACAGGTATGTTGACAGTGATCACACACACGGGCCGAAGTGTCAGTTAGGGGAGATGGGGGAGGGGGGTGTTGACCGCACAGGAAGGCAGTGTGGTGATTAGAGGGGGTGCACATACGTGTCAGTTTTCAGGTAAGGAAAGGTCTTCAATTTGACAACCCGATGGATTATATTTTCAGTTTATTTCCAAGCCGAAAAGGTAAGCTGTTAAAAAACATCATTTTCCCTGTATACATTAATTTTAGGTTATCTAATGCCAGATGAAATGATAAACTTCTATTTTATAGTAACAGCCATAGTGTGATAAATTGGCAGGGTAGAATATTTTCATGCGTTATATTATAATAACTTATTTTGATTTTTTTAAATTAATTTAGACATATATGAAATAATTTATTATCAGCTTATTTAATATTGATAAAAAAATAAATTTAAATTTTGAACGTGTACGGCCATTAAGATCGGTGTTAAAATCATCTGGATCAATGTCTTATGTTTTATTATTTTTGTAACATCAAGACTTTATATAATTGTGCATACATCAGATCAGAGGCGTAAACATATAACTAATATTATCAGACGATAAATAAGGGAAAAAAGAATATTGCATGAAAAAAGATACATATCAATATCCTGCTAATTATTTATTTTTTTGCTTTTTGGGTACGCATAAACCGTAGCTTACACTTCTGGAAAGAGTCGAGATTTTCATAAAAGGAGTGTTATGGAAACAGTTTTCCTTAACAAGACCATCACCATTTGCCAATTTGAAAAAAATAGATCTTGTGAGAGAACTCAATGCTAGAGGGCATGGCACAGTAAACAAGAGTAAAGGTGAACTACAGGAAAAACTAGTAAGCACACTTACAGGTATTCAGAGACCACCAGCCTTCTTCTCAACAAGTCAAGATGTCTCAGACCTACTCCAAACTTACGAAGTACCACCAGCTGAACCCCTCCATGACATTACAAACATCGTGCAGAACCTAATAATAGAGCTTCCCCACCATATTGATGATGCTGACATAAAGAAAGATTATGAACAGTTCTCAGTTACCACCATTGGAGATAAAAATCAGCTGAAAGGATCAGACGCCCGTCTTTTTGCTGTCAAGTTGGCAATGTTCTCACACTCAAAATTCTCGGAGAATAAAATCAGTAAGGATATTTATTATCTCTGTGCCTGTTTAGTAGAGGTAATATCCATCTGCTATAGCCCCTATCAACAGAGAACAACCAAGAAAATTCTAAGATTGTATAATCTCTGCTTCAAATTTAGCATTCTTTCAAAGACAGTTATTAGCATACCTAAGAAGATGACTACTAAAAAAATTCTTAGGCTCACATTTCCACAGCCTAACATTGCACACCCCGGAAACTTACAGATTAATTTGCCTGCGCTCCCTGATTCCAGAACAAGAGGAAAGATCATTTGGAGACCTACGAAACATCTCTCTAAACACAGCCAACAGACAATGCGGTAAATCATAGACAATGCAGTGCTGAGATACAATGCACAACAGCTGGATGAAAACAAAGAAAATTACGTTAAACATCAAGACTCAATTATCAGTCACCAAGCCAAACATCTTCCAAAAACAGGGAACACCTTATTTGATATGGAATTTCCAACCTTATTTCAAATCCACTGTCAAAGGATTTCCGATTTCTTGAGTTTTTTGGCGAAGGCACTTGGTGGTCTATCTGCAGTGATGGCATATTATTTCATGATGGTCCAGGTGAGCAAGACTTTCAAAGTTATCCATCTCTTAGTCACTTTCGTTCCATGACAGGAAAACATCAAGAAAGAGTATTAGAGAGGGACTGGCTCAAGTGCATTGACCAATATGAAGACTCTGCTCTCAGACTGCCACTCTGCAAGATTAGAATTTTTGAAGAGGGAAAACTTTGCAGAATTGTGAAAAATGATGGTATGTCAAAATTTTCTTATCAAAATTATCATGAATCCTAAAAATGAATTTTCCAATATCTCAAAATTAAAAAAAAATGTTTTAAACAACATGAACCAGAATCATTGATTAAAGCTTGTCCTTTTCCTGAAATGCATCAGCAGTTCTTGATATTATTAAACATATGAATACATATTTAGCAAATCCTCCTTTCTTCAGATTTCATGAGGGCTGTGGACGGGTACAGCAGAGTATCTGTCATGGAGGCATCACACAAACCACGGAGTTGATAGGTTCTGCAGCAAACAAGGCCAGCAACAGAGGTATACCTACAAACAATTATTATTCATGAAGTTTTGTCTTGTACAACTACATGTAAATATCATTCTTCAAAAGGCTGGTAAATAATGCAATATTTCTAAAATATTTATTTAGAATTTTTTTATTGTCTAAACCTTATTTAGATGATAAATGTTGAAATTGAGTTATTCATGGTCATTATTTTGCACTGTACTGAACATAAGTATTGAACAAAGTTCACAAAATCTCTCTTAAGAACCCCTGTTCATGTACAGTATAAAGACATAGGTAGATGGTCATGCAGACAGACTTTCTGATTCAACTTTAGCCCAAGCCATTGCTTGTCAAGATATTATCATCATATATTAAAATAATATCTGTTAAAGGATCACAAAGTACCAGATTGACACATGGTGATGGCCCCGTGGGGATCCGGGTTATAATAGGTCCTCAGTACCCCTTTGCTTGTCGTAAAAGTCGACTAAATGGGGCGGTCCTTCGGATGAGACCGTTTAAATCGAGGCCCCGTGTCACAGCAGGTTTGGCACGATAAAGATCCCTCCCTGCTCAAAGGCCGTGAGTGCCGAGCATAGGCCTAAATTTGCGGCAATGGTGAAGTCTCCATATCAGTGAAATATTCTGGAGAGGGACGTTAAACAGTATACAATCAATCACATGGTGATGATGGTAATGGTCTTGGTGATGAAAGACGTGATGGTGATGGAATTGATGGTGGTGATGGTCAAGGTGGTGGTGATGGTCAAATTGGTGAGGGTGAAGATGGCATTGGTCTAAAGACAGGTATTTCTACAAATTTGCAAATTTTCAATCAAAACCAGAGCATAGACATAAGAATCAAAATATAAATATTTTTCATTTTTCATCTGATAAGAATATAGATAATTTTTACTTATATACATGCAATAATTTTTCAAAATAGTTTCCTTAGATAAAGATAAAAAGAGAGGCTCGGGAAAATCTGAAGGCTCCTACAGGTCTCAAGATGAAAATGGAAATGTACAAATCAGAGTTATTTAATTTAAGAACATTTGAACATTCACTAAAAGACCAAAAAGATAGAGTGCCTACCTAAGTCATTTTGGCCTTCTGATTTTTATTAACAAACATTATTTTAAAGATGACCTAATCTTACTTATCACAGAATCTGTAAAGTCACAGTTTACGCTTATGACAAATGATGATGGTGATGATCATGCTGATAATGAGCATGGTGATGATGAGCATAGTGATGATCATGGTGATGATGAGCATGGTGATGATCATGGAGGTGATGATGGTAATGAAAAAGGTACTCTAGTGCATGGCGACGATGGTGGTGATGATAATGATGACAATGGACAAGAAACAGGTATTTCTACACATTTGTAACTTTACAATCAGAACCATAACATGACTAGCTTGCCAAAATATATTTTATTTATCATGTTATTATCATGAAAAGTTTAATTTCATCTGGTCAGACAAACATACATATTTTGATTCCAGTTAAGCTTTTAGATTTTTTCTAGCCAGATTTTTATCATTTTTTATAATTAAATCTATTACGGAAGAAAAAAATTACCCGGATTACAAGGGATTGCAATTATGAGCATGGTGGACATGGTAGTCAGGGGCATGGTGGTGGACGTGATGATGCTAGTCAGGGGCATGGTGGTGGACGTGATGATGCTAGTCAGGGGCATGGTGGTGGACGTGATGATGCTAGTCAGGGGCATGGTGGTGGTCGTGATGATGCTAGTCAGGGGCATGGTGGTGGACGTGATGATGCTGGTCAGGGGCATGGTGGTGGACGTGATGATGCTAGTCAGGGGCATGGTGGTGGTCGTGATGATGCTAGTCAGGGGCATGGTGGTGGACGTGGTGATGGTAGTCAGGGGCATGGTGGTAGACATGGTGATGGTAGTCAGGGGCATGGTGGTTGACATGGTGATGGTAGTCATGGGCATTATGGTAGAGCTGGTGTGCCATTTGTTAACATGTATTTCTACAAAATTGCAAATTTACAATCAAACCAGAGTATTATCATAGGTATCAAATCTTACCCCACCTCTGTTGATCTTTCCGTGAAATCCTGGTTTACGATTGGTTGAAGTCTGTCACGTGAAGGAGGTGGATTACTTATACCCGGTCAGTGGTAAATCTATACCCGGTCAGTTGTAAATCTATATCCGGTCGATATATTACGTCACAAAGAAAACGTGACGTCATAATAGGCACAGTATAAGCGTGACGAATCATTTAGCAGAGAAAGTCATTTATAAACCACTGATAGGACGTAAATATTTCATCGGTGGGGTAAATTCGTTACATAGTCTTTTAGGCTCCGCCTCGCCAGGTATGAAATTTACTAACCAGGTATCATCCAATACCCTGTCACTAAAAGACTATGTAACTAATAATATTTCATCTGATCAGAACGTTTATCAATGAGTGTTATTCTTAAACTTTCATCAGATGAGGTTCACAAGAAAAGACTCGGTAAAATTGAAGTCCTCAACATGCCACAAGATGAAGAAGACAGTGGACACTTATATGTATTTGCAAAAAAAAATAAATCAAATATCTTAAAGCAAAAAGAGAAGCATTTAATTATAGAAAAACATATATGAACCTTGTGGACGATTATCACTATGTTCCGTATAAAAATATAAAGATTTCCTGTTAAAATAAATCAAAATTTGAAGATTCAATGCTTAATTACAACCGTGGTTGGCTGTAGTTGTACTTTCCCATAAAAAATCTTATCTAATCTAAGTTTTTAAAAATTTTACTAAAATGAGACGAGCAGAAAAGATTTTGGGAAATCAAATGGTGTCCCTGTATCACACGACGATGATTTAGAAGAAGACAAAGGTATTTCTTCAACTGAAAATTTTACTGGTACTAGTTTTTACTTTCTCTACATTTGGGAATAATATAGAGTTTTTTCTTTTCTATAGTTTTTTTTTTAATTTCATTTACAGTTTATCTGGATAGAGAACAAAAAGATGTTGAGAAGTCAGTGGATTTCCACAAGTCAGATGAAGGTGGAAAGGTCACAGGTATTAAATTCAAAAATCAAAATAGGTGACCAAAAACTATTAAAGGAGTTACATTACAGGGTTGTCACAGTTCCAAAATTTTTCGGTTTGAGTTAGTTCTAAATTATTTAGGATTGGATTCGGGTTTCTCAAAAGACTCCTATGCTTACAAACCTTTTTTCTAATTGATCTTTTACCTAGTAAACAATTTTGGTGCACAAGGAATAGGATGCGGGTCAAAACTAGTGGTGAACAAGGCACAGGTACAGCTGAAACACACAATATACAAATAAAAGAATTGGTATTGAAAACAACAGGAAAATCATCTTCACAGACATGCATTTTTTATTGATGGATGGCATGTTCCCTCTTTAAATACAATTTTCTGATTAAATGCAAAAATCACTAAAACTCTATGATAACTTCTGGAATTTGTAGATGGAAAATTACCTTCAGGGAGTTGTGTTGAAAAAGGGCAGTCATTGCAACACAGGCGACCACGAGAATTTGCATCAGTTGCAAGCTGCAATACAGGTAAATATAAATAAATATGTTGAAACACAAATAACACTGTTCATATACATACATGTTTGTTCTTCTCAGAATATTTACTTCAAATGAATATTTTTTGTAAGTACGGGAAATAACGTCACAGCTATTGCAGAAAAAAATACATAAACCACAGAATTATTTATTATAAAAGACATTGTGAGCATGGTTTAAACATTTTTCTTAATTCTTTAGATTGTTCCAATGAGAAAAAATCATGTAGGCGTAGGATTTTTACAGAGGGAACAGGTAATAATTATAATTTGGTGATTTTGTTGAATCAATAACTTTTTTGAATGTTAACATTTAAATACCTTTGATACAGATTCTACAGTCTACATCGTGAAAGCACTCCTCCCTAACAATGACCCTGTATTGGCCGAGTTCCTCAAGTACAGACTACTCCTGAAAAATGATAAATCCTTGAAACAAACGTACGAGCGTGCTTTAGCAAAACTACAGACTACCATCAGCAAGATACATAGGGAGTTGCTGGAAAGGAAAGAACAGGAAACGTCTGACCCTCCGATTAAAATGGCAGAGAAGCTGTTACTTCGTTGGAACATTTATTTTTAAGTGGTTAAAATTATGTTTAATTTCCAAAAAATTTACATGAATCTCTAAAAGTGCTTTAGTAGTCGTTGAGCACAATACTGTTTTTCCTAAAAATTCATTACACAAATTTTTAAATGCACAATGTAACACTTGGTAAACTTTATCTGTTTGCCCATTGTGTCTAATGTCAGGATGTTTTTTGTTTTTTGTTTTTGGTTAATATGTGTGGGATTAAAATAACTGCTGTAAGTTTGTAAATAACAGTAATTTAAGGAGATTTAAAGAAAAAGAAAACATCAAGTTTTATACAAAAAAATATAGTATGCATTTTAGTACAGTGTATTTATTATTTTTAATGTTTCAAGTTTTCTTCTTTGATCTACTTTTTTTAATACATGTGTAATATGCTGTGTTCCTGAAGACGATACAAAAATTTAAAGTAACAATTATATAAATTTATAAAATCAGTGCCGCAAATAAATGTTTTAAATTAATTTTTGCTTTGATTGTTTGTTGTTTAACGTCCTTCTCAAGAATTTTTCATTCTTATAAGACACCATCACTTGCAACAGATTTTCTTTTTTTCATCTAATTTAAGGAGACAATGGAATAATTTCAATTTGCTCTCAACAATGCTCGGGGCCAATCACAGGTTCATAAGGACCTGATTATTTTGATGATTTAATAAAATTACATATATACATAATTATATTTATGTTTGTCAGGATGCAAGTTCATTGAATCGTGACCTGTAATACATGAAAATTGGACTCCCTAAACACTACACATTTTTTGACTGAATTGGTTAAAGGGCAAAATCGGTTTTATTAATCCAAGAACCAAAGTGTTTCCTGAGGCCATTAGGCAAAAGGAACAGTATGTATACAGTTCAAGTTATATCATTGAGGGAGTTAGCAAGATTCCAATTCCCCAAGGCCAGGACTATTTGCTTAGGTGCAGCAAAAGTAAAGAAAAAACGGAGGATTACGAATGACTGGGAATAAACTTCCGATAAAATTCACTGGGATTAGTCCATCAACTAATTAGACCGACACAAAAGTAAAATCTAGAGGATTACGGATAATTAGGCCTAGCTTCCGAAGCAGGGATTAGCTCATTTCACCTACGCACAGGGACTAGTCCATTCATAGAGATTTCTAACATTTATAACTAGGAAAAAATCAGTAGAGGTATAAATTAATTTAGTTTAAGGATTGACAATAATATGCTTCTTGAATTATTGGTGTGTGAATACAGACTTGCACGTATGCATATTTTTCTTGTAGCGCTAGCACGTTTCATGAAATATACCTACGTGGCAAGTCTGTGTGTTTCACACACCAAAATCACACAAAACTTAAAAACATTCCTTAAAAAAAATCTATGTAACATGTAAAAAGTCATGCTTGTTCAAGTTTCTAAATTAATGATTTATATAGCGTTATACTTGCGCACATTTTGTTCATACTTGTGCAATGCACAGTCTCCTGTGGGATATTTCATTTTGCAACAATAAACGCAAATGTTGTATAGATTCGAAAAAAAGAATTTTCCTGGGCAGATTCCCACATGGTGCCCCTGTATTTCAAACTTGAGCGTTCTGAGTGTATCTAATTAGTATCACAGAATATGAAATGCCTAATCTTTTGTACGTATTGTACAGTATTTGCTAGCAGACTATAGTTGTTAGTATATATAAATTGAATACTTTTAAAAAAGAAGAAACATCATAAAGAATGTTAACCATGTGGTCTGAAAGAAGTCAGCGAATGTTGTTAAAACATTGCATTTAATGACGGTAAAACAGTCTAAATAAACGTGTAAACTTACAGTCATACTCTTCCCAGCAATTAGTCGGCATCTACCATCATGCTATGCAGCAATTTTGTTGTAAATTCCATCAAAACACTGGAACAGACAGACTTTTCCCACGCATCTCCCAGCAACGGTTGACATCGTGTCGAGACGGCGAAAGCGCCGAGACGACGTAGATCAGCTCCAAACGACATAATTTCATAGTTCGTAATTTCATAGAAAATTCGTTTATAGAGCTGATCTAGCGACCTAAACGAAACGAACAAATGAAATGTATCAGACACTATACGAAACAAATCTTTAAAGTATCGATAAATAAAAAAATAAAACTAAAACACGTAATAAAATGTTCTCATGAATAATTATGAAAATGGGCGGAGCTAAGTCACGCGATATTCATGAGCTCTACCACGCGGAAGTCCTTAACCGAGCTGCGACGACGAATTTTTCCGTTACATGTATTTCCCAATCATGACTAGGAGCACACGGTAGATGTGACTGGTCGGCAGGGGATGCTCATTTCTCCATGGTACCTGATCCAACCTCTGATGTTTTGGAGTTGGATCTGCTCCTGTTTTGTATTGTTTTATGGACTTTAATATTGAATTCTGTTCCTTATCTCCATATACTTCATTTGTTACACTGTATGAAGAGTGATCTTTTTATCAGGTCCCATTGGATTTATTTCATGTCTAGCTTGCAATTTGCAGATGAAACTTGAAACAACTACCTAAACATTGGCGTGAATATTTTATTTCGACGTCTTTAACCCCTGAAAGATGTAAACTCGCTAAAAGCTGTTGTTAAGCCGTTTTGTTATGAATTAGTTATATTACATGGTCTTTGCTTTTGAAAGTAGTTTTAACAAATAATTATGTTGATAATATACATCGGCATTGACTATTTTATTCCAAAGCTGTGCAGAAATATGTGAACAGATTCGTGCAACATTTTATCTGTTTTCCAGCAAAAAGACAACTTCAAGACAAATCAAAGGGTATTAACCATCTACAATTTCCTTATGATGGATAGAAAGGCTATTTTAATATTATTATCGCATATTCTTGGAAGAATCTTTTACGCATATGGGCATAGGAATACGGAAAGCAACCTTCGAAATTATATTTTTAACAGCTACGATCGGTTTAGTACTCCTGTATTCAATAGTTCAACTGACAAAGTTAAAATACGAGTTGTACTTTCGCTTTATAGCATCGAGAATGTGGACGAAAAATTGCAAACGTTTTCTTCAGTTATTGAAATAATCTACAATTGGAAGGACGCCTTTTTAAATTGGAATAAAACGGAATATCAGATAAACGTTCTGCGTGTTCCTGCCGAGAAAATATGGGTCCCAATAATTATCAGTGAAAATGAGTTAGAAAGCAAACGAATCATGACCTTTGAATCCGTCAAAAGCAAAGATGCTCTTGTTTTTCATGATGGGATTGTTTTATTATATAATACTGTGAAAAGTACCATTCAATGTGAAATAACTTTATTGAAATTCCCCTTTGATGAACAAACTTGTTCATATAAGTTTTATACTCCAGCAAATTTAAAGGATGTAGAAATATCGGAAAATCGCACAGTTTTTATAACATCGAAAATACAGAAAAACGGGGAATGGAGTCTCGTATCTTCTGGAAAAGACATTCAGAAAGTAGACAAAGGAGGTAATATTATTTATTTCACGCTACAGATTCGCAGGCGTCCAACAATGGCTATACTAACAACGTTAATTCCGATTGTTTTATTGTCTATCATGAACATATTTTGCTTTGTTATTCCCGTCGAAGCGGGCGAAAAAATCGGAATGTCTATGTCAATATTCTTGACTTTTGCTGTGTATGCAACCGTTCTGAGTGAAACGATGCCGTCATCTGCCGATGACGTGCCCGCATTTAGTGTTTACGTCATAACACAAATTATTCTCAGTGCTCTTACTCTCATGGGGGAAGCCATTGTTATCTCTATTCATCACAAGAACCCCGAAAAAGTACCGGAAGAGAAGGTCGAGGAAACGAATGTTCACTCTCCGAACGACATAGAAGAAATTGATAAACATTCATTTACCGAATCAAATTGTCCAAAGGTTGACACAAAAAGAAAGAATATTGATGCATCAACGCTGGAAAATATATTAATGGTATGCAACATATGCATCAATGTTGTTTCACTTTGTGTTCTAGGCGTTACAATTCTTTATGAATAAAGATTGAGGGAATGTTTTAGACACCTAAAGAAAACAATTGTGTAAGACCTTCATTTAACTGGTTTCTGAAGATGTATACATCAAATGATTTGCTCATCTTCACAACAATTTAATAATTCACATTTTTCGATGCTTTATGTTTTTATTAATATTTTTATACCCGCACTTTCTAAAGAAAGTTCGGGTATATTGTTGATACTCATGTCCGTCCGTCCGTCCGTCCGTCCGTCCGTCTGTCACACTTTTCTTCCCTGAACTCCTCCTACGTTTTTCACAGTAGCTTAATCATCCTTTGGGAGATGGTTGGGGGTGTCATGTAGATGTGCAGTAAGGTTTCGGAATTTTGATTTTGCCCCAGGGGATCAAATGGGGGTCGAAAAATGACGTTTTTTATGCAAAAAGCCCCTTGTGCAGTAAGGTTTCGGAATTTTGATTTTGCCCCGGGGGATCAAATGGGGGTCGAAAAATGATGTTTTTTATACAAAAAGCCCCTTCTTCCCTGTACTCCTTTTACATTTTACTCAGCAGCCTAATCATCTTTTGAGAGATGGTTGGTGGTGTCATGTAGATGTGCAGTAAGGTTTCGGAATTTTGATTTTGCCCCGGGGGATCAAATGGGGGTCGAAAAATGACGTTTTTTATACAAAAAGCCCCTTCTTCCCTGAACTCCTTCTACATTTTACTCAGCAGCCTAATCATCTTTTGAGAGATGGTTGGTGGTGTCATGTAGATGTGCAGTAAGGTTTCGGAATTTTGATTTTGCCCCGGGGGATCAAATGGGGGTCGAAAAATGATGTTTTTTATACAAAAAGCCCCTTCTTCCCTGAACTCCTTCTACATTTTACTCAGCAGCCTAATCATCTTTTGAGAGATGGTTGGTGGTGTCATGTAGATGTGCAGTAAGGTTTCGGAATTTTGATTTTGCCCCGGGGGATCAAATGGGGGTAGAAAAATGACGTTTTTTATGCTAAAAGCCCCGTCTCCCTGAACTCCTTCTACATTTTTCTCAGCAGCCTAATCATCTATTGGGAGATGGTTGGTGGTGTCATGTAGATGTGCAGTAAGGTTTCTGTATTT